ATAAAAGCAAAATATAATATTATAAATCAGTCGTTATATACATTGATTGATATTATTCAAAAATACTAATCGATGTATAGAAAGAATAATTTGTAACCGTTCTGTCATAAAAGAAACTTCAAAGAATAAAATTTCATAGAATTGTCGTGTAAAAACAGTATGCCAAAAAGTCAATACGGTGATGTATTTTATACATTTTTATTAAACCTGAACTAATCTTTTCTTTCTTTGATTGCCATTCTTTGCCAATTATTTTGGTAGAGTCTATTTTCTGAAGATTTTAAACAAAACTCTATATACATCTGTGTGGTCTTAGAAAATCAAGAACTCTTTCGCAAATTTCATTTTTCAAATTTCTCGCATTTTTCGAGAGTATAAATTTATAAATGCCAAATAAAATGTTCTATTTTATTTAGAATTGTCATTTCAAGGACGGTAATATATATGTAACAGTAGCGTTAACATTTTATCTTCTTTCTTTCTTAACAAATTGTAAAACATTTTTATGGAGTCTGTTTTCTAGAAGTAGTAAAATTCCTTCTGTAAAGTATGAAAAATGATGTGCTTGACATTTGAAGCAAAGAAAATGGTCTCTTTTGTTCGAGCGAAAGCTTATTAAGCAATATTTAGGTATTAAAGGTTAACCGCAACCTAAGTTTGCGTTTTCAAAATGCTTCCTTATTGTTTTGTAGACTCTCTTGTTTCTTTACGATTTTTAAAAAATTTTGTAATTATTATAGCAAAATGCCAATAAACACAAATAGGAGCAAAAAAGATAAAAATATCTCGTTTGCAAAATAAATGTCATTATTTCATATGTTATATCATTTCAAAATATTTCCTAATAAATTTATTCGTAAGGTTTACAATTTGGAAAAATCGAATGTGTGTGTGTGTGTGTGTGTGTGTGTTGTATGTAGAGATTTTCAATATAATTCTTACAAACTTAATCCACGTGATTTAGAAAATTTGTTTAATTTTCGAGATAAATATATAGATTCTGAAACTTTTTAAAAAAAAATAAATCTCAGAACAGATCTGATCCTTAAAAAAAAAAAATATATATATATATTTTTTTTTTAATTATGAGTATATTTTATACAATTACTTATTTTATATTCTGTCTATTTAGTTTTATCATGCCATCGATTTAAACACCAGTGTTCCTAATATCATCAATAAAACTTTATATATTGCAAAAAAAGATGTCGTAATTTAGGAAGCCGTGAGAAAAAAGTTTTGATGATCATTCTTTTTTCTTTTTGGAGTGAAATGTCGGAGGTAAAGTGACAATTTTTCGATGCTGAACTGTGACGTGCCGCAGCGATCTGCGCAAGGAAACCGTACCATTGTTGTTCATTTCGACTGACCATCGTCTGTCAATACGACAGATGTCCAAAGCCGGACACTGGCTAATCCGGCCTAAGTTAGGGTTAACTAAACCAAGAGACGTTATTATGCACGAAAGGCAAACCCCTTTCTCCGAAGATGAATGCGCAAGATTACATTGCGAAAATTTTCGACGTCGCTGTTGCGCCTTTGTTGCATAGTTACAAAACTTACCTTCCCTTTCCTCTTTTTTCCTTCGATCTACTAGGAAAATCTTTTCTATTATAGTTACGAGCTTATGATTGAAAAAATGGATTCATTCATTACAGCTGATCGAAAATTTCGACATGCTTATTGAATATTATAACGTAATATATTAAAAATTAATAATTAATAGTGAATCACGCACGCAAACAATATTTGTTATGTTAAATTATTAATTATATTTGATACTTGAGACTTTTTCATCGAAGTGTCTAAGAAAATCGTACTCTTTAAATCAAAATAACTGATATATAAACATTGCAATCTAAAAGATTCTTTATTAAAATATATATCAATCTTAGCATTTTCTCAATTCTAAAATTATATATTTATAAAAATATAAAAAATCGAATGTGTGTGTGTGTGTGTGTGTGTGTGTTGTATGTAGAGATTTTCAATATAATTCTTACAAACTTAATCCACGTGATTTAGAAAATTTGTTTAATTTTCGAGATAAATATATAGATTCTGAAACTTTTTAAAAAAACATAAATCTCAGAACAGATCTGATCCTTAAAAAAAAAAAAATATATATATATATTTTTTTAAATTTTTTAATTATAAAAGGTTAATGAAGAATATGATTCCTTCAAATGTTTTAAGAAATAATTATTATTTTTACACTTATTGTAGGTATTGTACATAATTAATAAAAATATACATACATGATGACAGATAGATGTTGATAGCAGCTAATTGTAAACTATTCGCGTTTAGCTACATGTGGCAAGTCGTACTTTCCGCGAACGCATTTTATTTTGACACCAGGTACATCTCGCAATCGGCCAACCCTACAGAGTACTATATTGTGCTCTTGCAAATTGTGACCGATTCCTGAAATAATTTAACTCACTTCAATTCTCCAACATGAATTACGATACTCCAAATGGCTTCAAAATGCATGCCAAAGCCGTTTGCTGCAAGTAATGAATTATAAATCTTACCAGGAACATATGCCGTCATTTCCCGACCGCTCGATAATCGTACAATGACGCATTTGCGATTCGCGGAATTAGGTTTTTTCGGTTTCTTGATGACGGTTTTCAAAACAACGCCCTTCATAAATGGCTGGCCATTGAAAGGATTCTTCGAAGGTTTGAGTTTCTTGTACGGCCCATTTCTCCTCAGCATTTGCCATAACGTGCTTCCTAATCTGATCTGTTCTAATCCTAAATCAATATGAATAATCATACAATCGTTCATTATAATTGCGCAAAAAAATAATTTGGATAAAAGCAAAATATAATATTATAAATCAGTCGTTATATACATTGATTGATATTATTCAAAAATACTAATCGATGTATAGAAAGAATAATTTGTAACCGTTCTGTCATAAAAGAAACTTCAAAGAATAAAATTTCATAGAATTGTCGTGTAAAAACAGTATGCCAAAAAGTCAATACGGTGATGTATTTTATACATTTTTATTAAACCTGAACTAATCTTTTCTTTCTTTGATTGCCATTCTTTGCCAATTATTTTGGTAGAGTCTATTTTCTGAAGATTTTAAACAAAACTCTATATACATCTGTGTGGTCTTAGAAAATCAAGAACTCTTTCGCAAATTTCATTTTTCAAATTTCTCGCATTTTTCGAGAGTATAAATTTATAAATGCCAAATAAAATGTTCTATTTTATTTAGAATTGTCATTTCAAGGACGGTAATATATATGTAACAGTAGCGTTAACATTTTATCTTCTTTCTTTCTTAACAAATTGTAAAACATTTTTATGGAGTCTGTTTTCTAGAAGTAGTAAAATTCCTTCTGTAAAGTATGAAAAATGATGTGCTTGACATTTGAAGCAAAGAAAATGGTCTCTTTTGTTCGAGCGAAAGCTTATTAAGCAATATTTAGGTATTAAAGGTTAACCGCAACCTAAGTTTGCGTTTTCAAAATGCTTCCTTATTGTTTTGTAGACTCTCTTGTTTCTTTACGATTTTTAAAAAATTTTGTAATTATTATAGCAAAATGCCAATAAACACAAATAGGAGCAAAAAAGATAAAAATATCTCGTTTGCAAAATAAATGTCATTATTTCATATGTTATATCATTTCAAAATATTTCCTAATAAATTTATTCGTAAGGTTTACAATTTGGAAAAATCGAATGTGTGTGTGTGTGTGTGTGTGTGTGTTGTATGTAGAGATTTTCAATATAATTCTTACAAACTTAATCCACGTGATTTAGAAAATTTGTTTAATTTTCGAGATAAATATATAGATTCTGAAACTTTTTAAAAAAACATAAATCTCAGAACAGATCTGATCCTTAAAAAAAAAAAAATATATATATATATTTTTTTTTTAATTATGAGTATATTTTATACAATTACTTATTTTATATTCTGTCTATTTAGTTTTATCATGCCATCGATTTAAACACCAGTGTTCCTAATATCATCAATAAAACTTTATATATTGCAAAAAAAGATGTCGTAATTTAGGAAGCCGTGAGAAAAAAGTTTTGATGATCATTCTTTTTTCTTTTTGGAGTGAAATGTCGGAGGTAAAGTGACAATTTTTCGATGCTGAACTGTGACGTGCCGCAGCGATCTGCGCAAGGAAACCGTACCATTGTTGTTCATTTCGACTGACCATCGTCTGTCAATACGACAGATGTCCAAAGCCGGACACTGGCTAATCCGGCCTAAGTTAGGGTTAACTAAACCAAGAGACGTTATTATGCACGAAAGGCAAACCCCTTTCTCCGAAGATGAATGCGCAAGATTACATTGCGAAAATTTTCGACGTCGCTGTTGCGCCTTTGTTGCATAGTTACAAAACTTACCTTCCCTTTCCTCTTTTTTCCTTCGATCTACTAGGAAAATCTTTTCTATTATAGTTACGAGCTTATGATTGAAAAAATGGATTCATTCATTACAGCTGATCGAAAATTTCGACATGCTTATTGAATATTATAACGTAATATATTAAAAATTAATAATTAATAGTGAATCACGCACGCAAACAATATTTGTTATGTTAAATTATTAATTATATTTGATACTTGAGACTTTTTCATCAAAGTGTCTAAGAAAATCGTACTCTTTAAATCAAAATAACTGATATATAAACATTGCAATCTAAAAGATTCTTTATTAAAATATATATCAATCTTAGCATTTTCTCAATTCTAAAATTATATATTTATAAAAATATATGTGTAGATGCGAGAAATATATATATATATATGTAACAGTTACGTCTAGCTTAATTTATGACGTGTGATTAATCAAGTAGAGCACAAGGAGGCAGGGAAAAGAAGAAGACAGTCAAGAAGAAAAGAGAAATCAAAAAAAAAAGAGATACAAAATGTACGCGATGTGTAACGGTTGTGTGAATTCCCAATAAATTCTTTAAAATTGTTTAAAACACGCCTAGACCGCTTCATCTCCTTACATATATATATTTTTGTCGAGAAGTTTTAGAAATAAATTTTTTTTTTCTGTGGAATGTGTAGGAAATATATGGAGACCTATATAAATAATTTAATATCTTGATCAGATGAAAAATAAAGCAAAAATATTAAAAACAGAGATAAGTGCAATACAAAAACTAAGTACAGATAAAAACATTTTATCAAATTGCATTATCAAATTGACGAACCCTCCAATTTTGATAAGGCGTCCTTCGCAAACGCTCTCATGAGTGTCTTGTGAATGGCTCACGTGTGGGGGCCCAGCCCTTTGTAGGGACGCGAGAAAAGCGGAAAGGGGAAAATACGCGAAAACCGTTCTCGTACGTCCTGATCCTCCCCAGTGACAACTGGTCAACCGCAAATGGACACGTCACCCCCTTCAATTCCCAACGATTTTCGCTGTTGGTCACAGAGCACCGTCTTTACGCCGTCCGAGCCCTTTCTTGCGAATAGGATCCCTTTCTGTATTCTGAGATCTCTCTGTGGGGATCAAAGAGGTGAAAGCTGCGCGTATTTTCGCAGCGGAATAATGTCCGATGGGAAATTTGGCCGACTTCCTTCAAATCTCGAACACTCTTTTCGCGCTTGCCGGACCCGAGAAAATCGCAGAGATACGTATCTGCAAGAGCGTCTATATAATGGGTCCTCCCGAGGACCATTTCGCAGTTATGAGAAATACGAGGAGTCCTGACATTTTACACATAATATATTGTGATTTCACGCATGTATTTCAGTAAATGAGTTATCAAACCACCGATCTGTTTCTTACAACTCGATTTGTATCTTGATTTTTGATTTTCTAAAATTGAGCTTACTCTTCTCGTATTAATATAATTAAAAATAATTCAATATAAATGATAGATAATAGTATAAATAATATTGTAATTTTTTATGAGAAAAAGAACTACTGCAAAATATTAGTTACTAACAAAGGCATATATGCATCAAGCATTCTATGTGTTCATGAGATAAAGAGATAATAGGCTATTTAAGATTGAGCACACCAAAAATTTTCTTTTTTTATCCCTTATCTGCATAGTCATAGTTTTTTGTTATTTCTCTCAATATCAAATTGCCAATTGCCAGTAGAAATGGCAGATCGCTGTCATAACAAAAATATATGAATGTTTGATTTACGTGTGTATGCTGATGTGTGGAAATGTTATTTAAAGTGTACAAAGATTGATTCCCCATTTGAAAAAATTAATATATAATGCTTGTGTATATGTATGTAAAAATATGAACATTTTATTACCTTGCAACGTTGTATTCACACATGTTCTTGCGGCACTTAGTATATTTCCTGTTAATACCAAGGATAAGATATCAAAGTTCGTTATTAGATAAACTGATATTACGCAGTATTACCTTGGATATAACTATTCCCATAGAACTTGGTCAGATTTGATGCGCTACCTAGAAATATACAAACAAAAAATAATTACATATAAAGCTAATTGTAAGATAGCTTCGCACACAAGCATACGTGCATAATACTAGATATATAGAATATTTTCCATATACATTTTAATGGATTTGTACTCCATATATCGAAAATTAACTTTTAATAATTATAACTGTATAAATGTTTCGTTATTAAAATAATCATTTTTAACAATCTTTCCTTCTTTACTACATGTTAGAGGTTATATTGGAGGTTAGATATAATTGAGAGAATATTTAAATTATATCACGCAGTGATCCGTACCTCGAATGGAATTTGCTATGCCAGCTCTTGCTATATTTATCATACTCCTGCCCAGGACATTCATGATTAACGTAATTAATACACTTTTCCTACTTAACTTAATCTTGTGTTATTCAAGCAAGTTATTGTTACCGCTAGACACCTAGCAGCGACAAAAAGAACTGTCAATAAAGGTATATTTAAAATAGAAATTCTACTTGCCGATTGTAAGTAATGTGTGAACACACATATTTTATACATAATTTTGTATGATTTTTTTCTAGTTAAAAAAATACTAGTAATAATAAAGCAATAATAATAATACTTTATAAATATACACATATAAATAAACTAAAATTAAATTATATTAAAGACATACGTGGCGCGAAAAAACGGCATCATGCCTTCGCCGCAATAAACGCCATAGGGAAAAGATATTCCAAAGTTATTAAAAAGTACAAAAAGTTTATTCAGAAGCCGCATGATATAAAACTTGGAAATAAATGATTAGAAAAGGAATGTAGGATCGAAAAAAGAATTATATCGACATTAATATTGCTCGTTAGTTTCACCATCCGTGGCGGTAACCGCTGCCAATCGTAGAACCAGTGCCATATCCTGCACCATATCCGAGTCCTGCTGTGCTGTATCGGAGTCTTGCCGCGTTATATCCGAATCCTGTCGCGCCGTATCCAGATCTTGCCGAGCCGTAACCGAGTCCTGCCGCGCCATATCCTAGTCCTGCCGCGCCGTATCCGAGCCCTGTCGCGCTATACCCGCCGAGACCTGCCGCGCCATATCCGCCGAGTCCTGCCGCACCATATCCGAGTCCTGCCGTGTCGTATCCGAGTCCTCCAGAAGCGTAACCTGGTCCACCATGTCCTGAACCGAGACCGCCGGAATAATCGAGAGGCGACGAATACAGGGGCGCGTTGTAACTATTGGAATAGGCAGGCGCAGAGATACCATGACCCAAAGAAGCGCCACCCAAATAGCTCTGCCCATAATCTGAAATTAGAGAGATGTAAAAAAAATAAAATATAAATTAAAATACAAAAATGAAGCATCTTAATTTTTTTTGTAAATAATTTTACATATAAGAGATCATTATTATTTTATAATATTATAAATTATTTATATATTTTCTTGATTAGTAAAGAGTTGTTATTTTGCACGATAGTAAGATTTTGTCAATATTTTTAAATCACACAATATATCTAACTGAAAAATATATTAAAATATTGTCATCAAAAGCAATAACCCATATAAACCCGATTAGGACCTTATGACAAATCATTATAAAAAAAGAGATAGAAGAAAATGAACGTAATAGACGCAATTGATACGATCACTTATCAAAATTCGGCACCATGATGAAGAAATCAACAATTTATGTAAAAATCTCGTTGAAAATATGGCAAAACATGTGAAAGCACTCATAAGAAATAAATGCATGCAAAGTATTGTTTTATTATCGATTTGTCAAGAAAAATTATTGTTAAGTAAATAAAATGCAACTTTAAAGGATAAATATTGAGTTTAATTTAAAAGATAAATTTTGAGTCTAATAATTTTCACACCGATGTAATGTCATCGCGACTTGAATGAAAATAAAACAATTTTGAATAAAGATTACCTGCTCCAATAGCTAAAGAATCCCCTTGAAGCACAGATCCTCCAAATCCGCCGTGACTTAAATCTAGAATGCCTCTTTTATCTTGTCTCTTCACCTGTGTCTCTTCGCCAAAAATAGGCATTGCCAGATTGAGAATGGTTAACAGAAGCTGTAAGAAAAAAACCTTTATGAAAAGCGGTAATTTGTCTCACGTAAATGCTGGAATTTTTATAATATACCCTCACACAATAGATATTCATAAAGCAGAAAAAAACTGTCTTTTTAACAGTTGCATACTAGTGTATATAATATTTTAAAATATCTATATATATGAGATATAAATAATAATGTGTATATGATATATGAAAATTCCTAGTCCTAAAATATATCCGTAATAAAAACTTGCGTATCACAAATCATTCAAAAATTGAACAACCGTGTCGAAAATAGTGCTGCGATTCTATTAATAATAAAAAGATATATATTTTTTTTGCGAATGATCTCTGCGAAAATTACTCACTATAGCGTTCATGATGACGGTGATACAGCGATGCAGGGATTACTATTGGAACTGATACAAACCTAACGAGACGCACCCTCTTTTATACCCTGGTAGAGTCTTTTCTTACTGTATTGCATTTCACCGAGACGAATTATACGCATGTATATGTCTCATATATCGACGCGATATAATATGCACACCTAGATAGAAACATAGGAGCAGTTTAGCGATAGTAGAGTCAAGAAGGTAGAGGTATACGCGTGGCTAATACGCCTTTCTAAAACGATTTTTTTATAGCACACTCGTCACGAAAATTCTTTGTTAAACCGCACAATCGACATCAATAGTGGGAATTAAAAGTCGATCGATCAGTCAATCGAAGGAGAATCAGCGTCGTTCGGTAAAATGTCTGAGCTAATGCATAATCAGAAAACAATGTTAAAATTACGTCAAATTTCTCTTCGAATCTTTTTGAGGAAGGTAAAATAATATAAAGTATCCGGAAAATAACTATTTCAAATATTTAAAAAAACATTTAGCAAACAATTAGTCTTTCTTCATCAGAGGCATAGCCATCACCAGGAAAGTTGAAGAAGGTTTTCGATAACAAGATTAGACGAGTTAAGGCTTGTTTCTTTTTTTTGCCTGCTCGGAAATCATTTCCAATATTATTTGTGAAAAAAAGATTAATTTGTTAATAATGTTTGATAAATGTGTTTTTTTTTTTAATATTTGAGATGTATAGTTACTTTTCGAACAACCTATATAAGTTTAACTTAATTATTCCAGAATTAGTGATTTAATCTTTATGAATATGAAGAATATATATCACGCTCGATGTTTCTCTTTCTCTTCAATTTATCTATATTGGATATACTTAAAGATGTATCATACAACTATAGTTTTCTTGACCTAAACACGCGACAATGCACGACTTATTCTGAACCACTTATACGATATAGTGATATGCATTTTTCACGCATCTTAAATTTCATCCACAAGACGAAACTTTCACTGTCGCACGGCTCTGTGACGATGGTTTTCGATTGCAGTTCGGTTACGCAAATATTTTTCCACCCACTTCGGGTTCTCCTCTCTTCCATTCTGTGGCAATCTATCATATGTTCTACAATTGACGAAACAGAAAAGAAAGAGAATACAAACGAAAGGTGTTTGAAAATTTGGCATAAAATTTGAAATCAATCTTTGCCTCCTCCATTTTTCTTCAAAAAGCTTGCCAATAACACAATAATACAATAACTTTAAAATATTTACAGAAAAAATATAGCAAAGAAATATTTTGTCAAGAAATTATTTTGCTTGCAAAAAGTACACAAAAAATTTATTTTTGATCAAGTAAAGTTAAAAATAATCTTTCAATTATCTGCCTCCTAACTTAAATATTGAAATGTACGACAATAACATCTTTTTTTAAAACTAAACGATGAAATAAAAAATAAAAAATAAATTAATACGGTGCCGTATATATCATTGTCTGATATAAACGTTATCTTCACGTTACCTCGGAATAATCAATCGTTTTACAAATAGACTGAACTCGATTCGACAACAGGTTGTTATTAAATTAGCAGAAAAAAGGCAAAAGGCTCGTTAATCATGGGAAAGAGGACATGAGATAAATCCTCGAGCCTTCGAAAGGGCCGTTGAGACCGGTCAAGTCTTACATCAGCACGCGAGAGATTTAGTGATATATAGATGCACGTCACACGATAAAGCACGTCATATCGCTAATTTTCTGCGGGGGAAGAGGAGAAAGGTATATCGCGCACGCATCAAAGGTCACGCGCGATCAGCTGTTGCGCAAATCGAGAGCAACGAGAGGGTTGCACCGACACACCCCGCTTCAATCATATATCCATATCCATATCGCGAAATCGAGCAATTTTTTAGCAATAATTTAATAGTTACGTTTGCTATGATTTGAATATAAAAAGAAATGATAAATAGAGCAATTTTTTTTACAGAATGCAAATATCGAAATATATCCGATATTAATAAAAAATGGCGTATAAAAAATGTAATTTCTTTTTATAGTACATGATTCGAAGCAATAAAGTAAAGAGTAAAACTAAATAATTATTTCAGATTCAGCTTTGTGAATTCTTATTGCAAAATGCATCATCAATATCGTTTTCCACAAATATCAATATATACAAAAATCTATCGAGGTTGATAAGCGAGATGTCAGATATATCAAGTGTTGATAATATAGACGTTATTGAAGTTTTGTGGGAATTCATAGATGTCAATGACAGGTTGTTTTTAAGCATAATCACGTGGTATAACCACGTGGGATATAATCACGTGGTGGCTACTCTATATAACCTTATCGTTTGTTTTGATCTACATACTATGAAACGTGTTATTATTTGTCTGTAATAGCTGTTTTAATTAAGAAATTAAATAACTATTATAGTTGTTAATTTTCTACGACTGTGATATATATTGACGGCATTGTGATATATATTGTCGCATTTTACAACTAATTAGCCTTTTCAGAAAAATCATATTTGGTATATATAACCTGCTAATGTGTATATGTGTATGATGAAAGGAATGCACTCTCTTTCTCCAGTAAGTTTTATTTACATTTGATAGAAGTCATTTGATTGTGTATTTTATCTATATAAAATAGTTTGATAAAAGATTCGTCTCTTTCACTGTTGGTTACAAAATTTATTAATTTCTAATAACATCAGGCATTTTTTGATATCCATTAATATTTTAATAAAAACTAGAATATTATTAATTGTATATTTATATCATATTTAATTTTATTAACAGAATTGATCATAGTAGTCAACTATATGTAATACAGATAACTCGCAAGTACAATATATATCAACAAAAATAAAAAAGACACAATAATAAATATAAATACAATAATAATGCACAAAAATATGATTATGTTAACAACTTCCAAATATGTTTTACCCTCGACATCTAATGTACAAAATATGTGCCAAAGACTTATTAAGAGACATATTTCAAAAGCTGATAAAATAAAAAAGTTAATGAAGGAATATAAATCAGTGTTTGGTGAATTAGTTGAAACAAATGCTGAAAAGAAAAAGAGACTGAAATTGGAAAAGAGAGGAAAAATTCCACTACAAAAGTCAAATACAACAGATGCAGAACTATCATGGGTTATGAAAAATTGTGGCAATAATCTGAAAAAAATCAAATCATCTACGAAGCCACAAGATGAACTAGTAGATCCTCATAAATTTAGTAATGTGAAAACTAAAAATCTAAACAATCCAGATACACAACATGATTTTCATTCCGAATCTAATCCAGTTTTGCAGAAAGTAGAATTGAAAATTACTAATCCATCATGTAATTTGTCTACAATCACAAGAGATATTAATAACAATAGCCATAATGAAAATACTCCAAATTTATCTAACACTGAATATACAGTTGCAAAGCATGATGCTCCTTCTAATTTTGAAAGATTGCCTGACATTATTATAAAAAATTTGCCATCTTTTCCGATTATGGACAGCAAACAAAAATCTTTCGCACAGTTAACAGAAGTATTATCTATATCTGGACAAAATGATCCAGAAACAATAAAATTTCCTAGCGTAACTAAGATTCTTACGCAAACTATGCCTCTAGAATCAAAATTGGCTTTAGAAGCATGGAAGGAAAGAATGATAAAAGAACTTGGACCAGAGGGATTTGAAATGCATCAGAAAGGTATTCAATTAAATTATTTTGCGAATTTTAAATCCAAATCAATCCAATAAGAAATAAATACATTTGTTTCTTCTTTGGTATATATAGCATTGTTAGAGGATGGAGCATCTCTGCATTCATGTATAGCGCAGAAATTGCTGGGGAAAGAATATGAAGTTCCTTTGAGGATCGAACCGGTTTTTAAAAGCGTCCAATACGTTTTGGAAGACGTGCACCACGTAAAAGCGATCGAGACACACGTGGCTCACAACAAATTACGTTACAAAGGCGTAATCGACTGTGTAGCCTCCTATAGGTAAAGCAGACGCTTTTCTTTGCCATCGCAAGGAAATTCTATTTCAAAAACAGGCACAACAGAGAACGCTGCTTGTTCTCTAATACAATTTTAAATTTTTTAAAATGAATTTTCAAAAATGATTACAGATTTCTTTTTTCGAGTCCATATAAATAGTAAAAATTTTAGATGAGAAGAAAATATTTTCCTATAATATATATTTATATATATTTATATATATAAATAATATATATTTATTTGAAAAAGGACAAAAAACAAATATATTTTATATTTTTTTTATTCATCTACAACTTTCTTCATCTCCTAAATTAATTCATATTTTTTTGTGGACGTAGAATTAATATTTCTCGTTGCGTATATTTTGCAGAATATATATATACATGCAGAACAATTTTGAATTATATATATCGACTATTAATTACAAATTTTCCGAGTGATAAGATTCAAAATTGTCCCGTCATCTATATTTAACAACTCTTTATTAAACTTTTTCGCAGGGGCGAAAATTACGTAATTGATTGGAAGAAATCAGATAGGAAGAAATTGAACTTGAAAGCAACATACGACGCGCCTGTACAAATTGCTGCGTATATTGGAGCTATCAATGCTTCTAATTTATATCCCTTTGTGGTAAATATCTCGCCATGATGAAAAAGAGACAGATAAAATTTCGAAATATTGCTGTGAAAATTAATTCGCTACTTTCGGATCAATATCATTATTTTTGCTATAATTTATCAGACACCTCGTAAAATCGTTGCTATTTTCTACAAATATAATCGATGAAACAGCTATCTTTTAAAACAATTATCGGATTTATCGCCGAGAAATATTGCAGCATTGCAATTAATTCTCGCGTCGTAATAATCACACTGATCATATCTACTCTTGGTTCTTCAGATAAAACACGGGTTGCTCGTGATTGCTTACACGTGCGGCGCACCCGCTACAGTATACGAGGTGTGCGACAATACGCTGCAGCAATACTGGACAGCGTGGTTGCGCCGGTTGCAGGAATATTATTCCGAAAGGACGAGTAACGATGACAACAAGAGCAGTAGCCAATAAAACGCTAATGTACCGACACATTGCGTATATTCATTAAAACTTTCCACATACAGAGCCAATTAAATCCTTATCCGTCAGCCACAGGTAACTCCTGGCAGGAGAAGTTTTTAATTCTATCCCTTGCGCGTCAAAAGTTGCAATAATCTATAGTCTTCGGGGAGTAGTTGGGAAAGCCCTCTCCGAGGAAACCTGGAGGTACAGCAGGAGGAAAACCGCGTCGATACGGCGACTCATTAAGGCCTGCGGTGGGCTCGGCATTTATGATTTATGAGAATCCCGCGCGCGTTTTCCAGACGCTCGAAATAACGATTATTATGAAAATATGCGAGCCATTATCGAAATACTATGATATTGTGTAATTTATAAAGATATATTTTGGCTTATTAAAAACGAGCATTACTTAAACATAAAATTACAATTTTTAAACTATATTTTTTCAAAGTTTTTTGAAAATCTTAGCTAATGAAAATTAATATTTTTTTATTAAATTCGAGAATTCCTAGAAGTTCTCCCTATATAGAGAAAAAATACTATCGTTTTCGTTTACATCACATTTTTTTTAAATTCCGGAATTGACAGTTTTTATTTGTGTAATCTACATATTTTCTATATATTATGGAATTAAAGTAGCCCAACAACTTTTATTTTAAACGTCAGTTCTAATATTTAATATTAATTCTTTTTATTATCGTAATTATATTATCCGAGAAAGACCTTTGATTACACAATTTTATATCATAGGAGAAGAAGACTGATAAAAACACGTGTGGCGGGCGTAAAAACTGATCGCCATTCCTGTCATCGGGTTAACATACAGCAATTATAACTTTCTGCCGGCGGTCCTGAAGGGGATGCTACGTTACGCGGCTCCCTGTTACAGGGCCCCATAAACATCGCGTCCAACCCTTTGCGCGCCCATGGGGATCGTAAACTAATGGTGAAGCGGTGTAGCGGAATTATATCATTCGTTGTGTTTCCGCATACCGAGATCGCACACACAGAGACCGAGAGAATATCACGTTAGGATATCAGATATTACGAACCACAGCTCTTACATCCTAACGGCGTTTGCGCCATCAGAGTTTGATAACATTGTACGATACATTATTATCTTAACGGAAATTTCTCGAAATTCCAGTTTTAGTTCATGCTATTTTAGAATTTTCTAAATTTTCGTCGTGTTGTGAGATGCATTCGCATCTTTTGCGGTATTATTATATTTCCGCGGATATTAAATTTTAAGTCTTTTATATTTGTTTATATCAAAATTATATGTATAAGAAAATAAAAAATTAAAACGGGATTATGTCGATTTTTTGTTTTTAATTAGATTATTCTATAATTCAAGAATTATCTCGCATGATTTTAATATTAAAATGCATATTCTTTTTATTAATCTATATTAATATAAATTCATAAAAAAATTGTGTCTTGGCTATCATGAAAACTCTCATGAAAATATCTAGTTACGCCATTAAAATGTCATCTTGTTATATTCTTCTCGAATATGTTTATTTTCTGTTCTCTCTCCTTTATTTCGCTAACAATAATTGCATATAATCTGCATCTAGCCTTTGACCTTTGTCAGTTCGACAAGTGTGCGTACGCGAGGTTTTACATCAAAGAATCCTCCCATTAATGTGCAAAACAGCTACACGCTTTGCTTTTCGAGAAGCGAATGCTCTCGTGTAACGAGGCAAGTGCTGCAACATACCGAAGTACCAATAAACAGAGCAGTAATAGCTGCTCTCCTATTTGTACAATTATCGTAATAATTGAATAACGACTCATTCAAAAAATATTAATTCACGGACACATTAATATTCAATTTAATTCTGTACATTGGAATTAATTAAAACATGTTAAGACGTTTTATTTCAACGCTCTTTTTAAATGTCGAGAGAGTTCCGCGAAAAATGCATACACGCGTGAAATGAACTGCAATGTCATAGTAGTATAAAACCGACGACGTTGACTCAACGGAAACGCCGTTATGACGCGCGTTCCATCGTTTTTCTGCCAGATCAAAAGAGCGAGGACAGCCACTATACCGCAATCTGTTTTCGCAATACGAAATAACGTTGCAAAGTGAAATTTAGTGCAGGCCGCGGATTATGCGCCGCCTGCTGCCGAGAATTCCGTCGTTCGCGTCTCCCTGTACATCCTATGGGAGGAAAGAGGAGGAATCCCGAGCAAAGACAATCATATTTCCGGATTAGACATTTAGCGAGCACCCCAGCCTCCCAGATAACTCTAAATCTCTCGGTTAATCCCCGCTAATCCTCCCGTAACAGCGGCATATTTTCATCGGCCGATCCACCCTCTTTGAGCGAAGAGTTATGAAAACGATAACTTTAACTCGCGTCGGTCGTCCCGCCTTCGTTCCTCTTTATTCTACGGATGCGCTGGCATAGAGAAAACTCGAGGAAAATGTGCCACGGGAACTATCGAACTTGCAATTTATCGGAGACCTCCGAGCAAGATGCCCTTCGAGCGATTCCTTATATTCCTCGTCTTTAATGCGCCGACGAACGAAGGCAGATTTTTATTAAGTCCATTTTACGGCCCGATAAACTTCAGCCACTTCATATTTTACTAGAAATATCGTACGAGAATTTTTAATAATCCTTAATTATATTTTCTATCCGAAGAAAGACATGTCTAGGAAGTTGCGGAAAAATTGTAAATAGTGGATCCGCGAAACGTCATATTTTGACAAAAAACAGCTGTTTTTGACAGAACGAACATATAACTTTTAAAAAATTATATAACAGTAAATTTATATTTATATTTTACATAAATTACTTATATAATTGAAATAAAAGTTGATATGTATATTTATCTATACATTATTTAAATTATTTAAAAAAAATGTTACATTGTAAAATTCTTTCTTTAAGGTTTGTTGTACATTCTTTTCCTATAATCTAAAATCGTAAAACCTTTCCGAGTTCGACAGACGGAACAATTGGAAGTAATCGCGAAATTGTTCTTCGCGACGTATTTCTACCATTAATACGCCGCTATTGAAGAGCTTTCCATCGCTGCGCGTAACAGTCCCTGGAAGCGTAAGCGCGTTCCTCGAGAGATCATGGCTGGAAGTCGTCGGCGAGTAAACTGGAGCACGTTCGAAATTACCAAGTTTTCATCGTGCCGCGGACGTCGAGCGAACCGATGTCGATATCCTTCCGGAGAGTTTCCGCGTCGCTCTCTTGACGGCTAACCGCGACGAGTACCTCTAACGGCGAAAAGTTTATAAATACAAGAGGGGTGGGGAGGGAAAGGGGGAAAGTTCGAAAGCGCTTCCGGGGAAAATCGACGAGCACGTTCGTGTGGAGCCTACGATAAAGGCAAAGCCACGGCGTCCCCGACGAGTCTCTTGTCCGAATCAATCCTCTTCGGCGCCGACAACGCGCCCAAGGCCCATCGTGCATGAATTATCGATCGTTGTTGCCGCGCGCAACAACGGTCACGCTACATTTGCCTTCCAATAATAATTAATAACCAAACGAAGCGCGCGGAGCGCCAGGGCCAACCTACAAAGGACCGGATTACACGCGAGACGAGAAACGACCACGTGCAAACACCACTGCCGCCGGTCCGGGCATTATAATAGGATGCCTCCCCTCCCCCCTCTCGCGTGCAACTTTACGCCGTAACTTCGGGATTCTGTGTGCATGTACTGCGGTAAATAAAATCGATAAACAAGTGGTTATTAGTAAATAATCGTAGCGTTTTTTTTGCAAGCTTGCGAAATAATATAAATATTTTTTTTTTTTTAATATTCATTTATATTGTTCTTTTTTTAATTTTGATCTAATTATAATATATATTAAAACGATTATTCGTTCTGCGAGATGTCAGCTGCTTTATTTTGTAATTTTAAAAGCCGACGGTGAAAAACACCCCCGACGCTGTTACACAAATCAACGAGAACAACTCGCCGTTTATACAAAATGATCACCGCTTCGTAAACACTACGTCGGTCGGTTTATGCACTTACGAGCGTGTGTTTCCAACGTGCAGCTCTCTCCTCTTTGGGGACTTGCTCAGGTGCACACCTGTGGCCAATTAGTTAGCGTGCATTAAAAGCGATTCAAACTGCGTCCTAAAGCGAATCTCGTGTAATTGTGTCTCGTTATTGTTGGCTCATTTAAAACGTGTGTGCGTAATAATGCGGTGTCTTGCTGACATTAATAAGATTTTGATAAATATACAAAGGATTTTAATGGAAAGAGTCGTTTCGTTTGTTTTATGACGAGAGAACAAGCCGAATAAAATTAATTTGATTTAAAGCATTTCATTCTGGAAACCTTTATTTGATTCGCTTGTCAGTGTAATAGTCTTTTTTTTTTTTTTTTAATGTCTTTGAACTCAAGTAATCAAATACGCCGGTCACTGTATCTCGATACACCCTTAATTCTGAAAACGATTAAGCGACGAAAGGACGAGACGGATTTCGGATAGCAACTAGTTATCCCGTGTATCGTCAAATTCGCATACCGTAGTGCTTTCGCAGTCTCATATTGCATCACAACTTTCCCGGCGTGTTCGTCGTCGCGCAATACGTCATCGAGTCGCTCGCGAGCAATTTCGCGGGGCGCTATATCTCACCGTGGGGAAAACTCCCAGCAGCTGTATATATTGCGAAATCGGCGAGAGATCTGCCGCAAGCTTGAAAATATAACCCCGGATATAGCGAGCGCCGTACTTTCAGTACCCCGATGCTCCCATTTCTCGAGTTCGCGCCCATCGGATTTTCAACCCGAGAAACGACACGTAGAGGGAATCAAATTGTCTATCTCGAAACGATTCCAGATGCACCCGAATAGATCTCCTATCGGCGGTAATTTCGCAAGCTAATTATTTATCACTTTTCAACGTTCAACGTTTCAATTTTCAAAGTTCAAATGTCTCTGATGAAATCTGAATTAAATTTCTATTGACATCGAATGTGAAAAAAACATTTGCTTTATCAGTCTAATCTTGGTTTTTAAATAATTTGATTTAAATCTTTTTTAATTTTAAGCATCCAATTTTTAATCTGTTTGAACATTCCTCGACATATTTCAATTCTAATTTTTTCTCATTCATCGTTTATTTATCATACATTCTTTATAAGAATATATCTGACATTGGAGCGATTGTTCGTTGCTCTTGAATATTTAAGACTGTGAAATAAAATACGCGTGACATATTCGAGATACCAAGATATTCCGTGTCTCCAATTCAATAAATCTGTATATTCCATGGGATGATGCAAACTCACGAGACATTTGAAAAATTTTCAATTTTCTCAATTTTCTTTCCTTTATGTCTGTATTACGCGCGCAATAAAATCTGACCAAATATTCTCCTATTCGCAAAAAAAAAAAAAAAAAATAATA